TGCATCCCCATGGGTGGGTCTGTGTCCCCCCTTGGCTCCAGAGCAGCGTGACGGAGACTCTTGGGATGAAAAACGTCCGACCAGCGGCCGTGTCCAGAGCAGATGCTGCCTGCAGACAATACGCGGGGACCGGAGGGGACGCCGAGGACATCCTGCTGATGGGAATTTAAGGTCACGGCTTGCCTTTCTGCGACTCGGTGGCCAAACGGCCCTGCAGCGGAGGGAAGGCTGGAGCCTCCTCACAGCGCTGGTTTCCAGAGCAGAACCTCTCCTGCCGGGAGGGAGATGGAACCGAGTGGCGCCAGCAGGATTTTGGGGAGTGGGAAGTGTCCAGCTGCCAGGGCAGGTGGCCTAAGACGGAAGGTAAGGTGGGGGGACTGATCTAGGGAACCAAATCTGTTGGATCCTTCTGCTTTTGGGGTAAACACCCAGCAAAAACCCACCTTATTTTTCAGGAGGGGGAGAAGTTGAAGTGTTTCATTTCTCATTGTCGTCTCCCCCCCACCAGTATCTCTCTGGGCATCACCACAAAACGCTTGGCCAGGGCTGCGGGGATGGGCTGGAAAGGTGGCAGCCGGGACAATATTCACACCCCTTATTTGGGATTGGTGTTGGGGAATTGCCACGGAGCTTCCCAGCGGTGCCGGACCCTGGGTTGGAATCGCAAAGCCAACAAATGGTGGGTTTGGGGTGGTGGGTTTTTTTTGTATCCCTGTAACTGGACTTGGGAGAAAATCCCATCAGCTCCATGTAGGTGTTGATGGCTTTTGTACCTTGCCCTGTCCCACCTGAAATCCCCGGTCCCTCTGTCTGGGGGGGAAGTGTCCTCATCCCATAGCTCGGCCGGTGTTGGGGGTCCCTCTGTGGGCAGCTGCTCATGCTCTCTCCTCCCTCTCTCCCTCTCTTTCCTACAGGAATTTCTGCTCCAACACCAATTTCCTTCCGTGCAGAGGCAGCGGGGAGGGGGCATGCGGGCTAGATGGTGTGCGGGGCAGGAAAGGTGGCGAGGTCAGGAATTTTATTATCAGCGTACACCACCCCTGCAGCGTGACCTGACCCAGAAACAACTGCAATCCTGCCTTGCAAGAAGAACGGGTGTCATTTTTATTTCCAAAAAAAATTCTGTACAATAAAGTGAGTGTGCGAGAGACAACAGATGCAGAGCTGGGTGGAGATACGCGGAGAAATATAAATAAAGGACACAAATAAGCCCGACGGTTTTTGTTTTTTTGTTTTTTGTTTTTTTTTTAAAGATGGAATGAAGGATGCGGAGACCAGGGGACGCAGAGTGCTTCAAAGGACCAGACTCAGTCACCGGCTGCAGAAGGCGCTCAGCTCTTGACAGGAGTGGACGCGGCCTTCGTGGTCTTCTTCAGGTGATGGTAGTTGGGCAAGATCTTCATCAGGAAATCCAGCTGCAGCGTCTGGGGCTGGAAACACAGGAGGTGGGGGTCAGGCTACGGCCGGCGGAGGACGGGAGGGTGGCGGCGTGTCACATGCGTGTGACACTCACCTGCGGGCGCTCGGTCTGGACGCGGCGGAGGCAGTCGGCGCCGTAGATGACGGTGTTCTCGGGGATCACCTCGTAGGTGTTGACGTTACAGCAGGCACCGATGATGCAGCCGCTCGTCAGGATCACGTTCCTGCCCACAAATGCTGCGAGAGGGGAGTTGAAAGCGGGGGACGGGTGCCTCGCTCAGAGCCACATTCTGCCCACAGTGCGGTTAAACCCGGCACTACACATCAACATCACAGGCTGCCCAGTACCAGGAGCCAGAGCCAGCCCAGCTCCCATCAAGGCACAGTAACACACCGGGGCTCTGCAGACGCTCACCAATGCGAAAACCACAACTTTGAGCCAATCTGCAGTTTGGGCAGAAATCTCACCAGGGCCAAGGCGCTAAAGCCTACACTTACCTTTTGATTCGATGACGTTGTTATCTCCCACTTTCATGGCTTGGGAATCTACAGGTCTGTGTTAAAGAAAGTGGTAAAATGTTTTGCTTTTATTTCAGAAGTTAAACCCTGACAGAGCTCATGTTTTCCCTGGACGGACCCGTAAGCATGGTGTGTCAGACAGCCCGCTTCACTGCACAGCAAGGATACAACACCCAACCTCAAAAACATTGTTGGTGCCGATCACCATTGGTTTGGGCTCCACCTCTTCCGTTTCTGGGGTAATATTTTCTGGATACCTGCAAGATGGGAAAATATATTACAAATTTTGAGATCTGAAAGATACTGTCCTGTCTGCCAGCTGCCCCTCAGCTTTGTCAGAGGCTGAGGTCACATATATCCCACCCAACCCAGCCAGACTGTCAGCGCTCTGAGGCAGCTTCCTCGTGCCCTGGCTCTCAGGATGAGATCCTGCCAGGATGAGACGGAGGAGGATCCACACAGGAAGGACTTCTTCCCTAGCTACAGCATCACACAAATGCACAAAAGGTTTGGGGTTTTTTTTTTTTAATTATAGCTCCCTAGAGTTTTTAAGCTCTCTAAAGAGCTGACACAGGAGCTGCCTCGAGAGCCTCTCAGGAAACACCACCTTTACAAACCCCAGCCTGGACACACTGCCACGGGGCCCCA